CATCATTTGCGCAAATAGCGATCTGGTTCTACAATTGCTCAATAAACACATGTAACCCCCCCCATCCCCCCCCCCCATCACTCTCTGAGCATCCGGATCCAAATTACCTGGTCTCGGCCACCCGCTGTATCAGTCTCGTCTTCCCGCAACCTTGCGCAACTCGCCCGGCAATCGTCCTTGCGAGAGAGAGAGAGATCCCACCCACATTATTCCCAAGGACCGACACTTTTCAACATCCACCCACCATGGCGGGCCTCTTCAAGCGGGTGTATGACTGGCTGCTGAGGCTGTTCTGGTGAGTTTTCGCTGCTGTGCAGAAATGCAGCTCGGCTTTGTGCGGTTCTTTCCTGCAAGCAAGAGCCATTCTCCTTCGCATTGATGGCAGCGTACTGACCAGGTCTCTTCCATCAATAGGGCGACCGAGATGGATATTACGATGATCGGTCTGCAGAATGCTGGCAAGACTTCGCTGTTGAGAGTCCTGGCGGTAAGCCGTCCAAGAAAATCGTGGATCTATTATCGCTCGGGTACTGACTGCTCTGTGATGGATAGGGCGGAGAATTTACCCTTGAGTATGTCCAGTCCCTTCCTGCAGCGCTATTCCCTCTACCTCTACCAGAGCGCGACACCACCGCAGGTTCTTGCTGACCATCTTTCTTCCCCCATAGCTCGATTCCAACAGTTGGATTTAATATGAAACGGGTCCAGAAGGGTCATGTAACCCTCAAGTGTTGGGATTTGGGAGGACAACCACGTTTCCGGTCTATGTGGGAGCGCTACTGCCGCGGGGTAAATGCTATCGTGTTTATCGTCGACTCGGCGGATACGGAAGCTCTGCCGGTCGCAAGAGATGAGCTCCATTTGCTTCTAGAGAAGCCCGTGCTGGAAGGAATTCCGCTCCTGGTACTCGGCAACAAATCCGATCTTGAGGAGAAGTTGTCAGTAGACCAGCTGATCGATGCGCTGGACCTGAAGAGTATCTCTCATCGTGAGGTGAGCTGCTACGGCATAAGCGCAAAAGAAGAAACAAACCTGGATGCGGTCTTGCAATGGCTCGTTGCTCGTGCTGGCAGATAGGTCTCTGGAAGACCTGTAGTACTTTGGACAATTGTCCGGCGTTGGGCCTCCACGGATCGAGGTCCCTCGGATATTCTTGACGACGATAACGAAGTAATGGAAAGACAAAACCCCATCCTCAGGTCTGCAAGGGCCAAATACATCTCCTCAGCTCACAGCTCCCATTCTGATTTTTTTCAACCCCTTCCGGGCCCCGCGCCGCCCTGATCAAATTTGTTCCGACAAGGCATTTCCTTACCTATAGCCCCCTTTTAATGCGCCATATCTGCAACGATAAGACGATGACCTTCATGACTTACGTTCATATAACATGTGGTAACTTGGATGGAAGCTCCTAGATTCCTGCCTTCTCCTAGTCTGGCATTTTTTTGGATTTTCCCTACTGCTTTCTTTTTGTTTTCTTGAGCGTGAACCAATTGTTTGGAGGGGCAGTGTTTCTCTCCCAGGCATCGTTGGGTGTTGCTGGGTTGGGCTTTGTAATTAGCATACCTATTCTCCCCTCTAGGTCAGGTTAACGGCCATTCCTCTGTGCCCATGTGCCCGACCAGAAAATGCAGAAAATTCCTAATTCGCCTGCCAGGCTCCGCTTGGGTGTTGACCAGCGCTCAGGTTGTGAGCGATGCAATGATCCTCGGGGGGCCAGGCTGCTGCTCCTCGACGCCCGGGGGGGGAACGGCCACTGCGACACGACGGCAGTCCGTGTCGAGGATTGCACATATAGCATTGGGCCCAGACATGCTCGCCCCTGAAGCGCAGTTTGGGAGAGAAGAGGGGAGGAGGAGGAGGAAGATGCGAAAGGGAGAGGGATCTGGAATATTGGGATTGGGGAGAAAGATGGGAGTCGGAGGCCTCGTAGCCAGGAGCCCATACATAATAATACATACTCCGTACCCAGCAGTACCCAGGCTACGCACAAAGGGCATTTGATGCGCTGGCACTTGGAAACATGGGTCCTGGAACCCTTGCTGGCACGGCAGCAGATGCGGGAGCGTAGGAGCTGCTCATTGGACGGATGAGATAAGACGAATCGAATGTTTTCTCTCTGATACTGGACTCCGTCTTGTCTGTCCGTCTGCCTGTCCGTCCTGTAGTTGGCAGAAGGGTAGGTAGGTAGGGCGGGATCATGGAATGAGAGGAGAGGAGATGAGATGAGATGAGATGAGATGAAGATGACCATAATTGTGACTTGACCAGGGGAGTGAGTGATTGAGTGTCCGTAGACAGTATTCAGAGGTACATAGGACCGGCCACTTGGTACAGTAGGGACTTGGAGAAGCTGGCACGCGAGTAAACGGAGATATGCTACCGGAGGAAGACTTCGGAGTTCCTTGAAGTCCTGAAGTCCTAAAGTCCTAAAGTCAGATAGCTCCGAGATGGTGAAGATCTTGAATCACTTATTGAATTCTTGATCACGTCTCGGCTCGCGCTTATTCACAGGACAAATACGATAGTACGACGACAAAGCATTCCAAGAGCCAAGAGCCAAGAAAATTCACATATTATAACACGGCATAGCCACAACCATAAATTTTGGCGCAGGGGCATAAGCCGGGTTGAGAACCTGCTTCCTACTTTACCCACTACCTACCTCCTACCTACCTCACATATAAACAACTGCTCTTCGCTCTCTTCACTCTACTTTCGAATCGACCGTCTCCTCGATATCGAATCGAATTGAATTGGAACGGTTGCAGGATAACATCTGCTCGACGGAGTACGAGGCATCAGCATTGGAAGCGATCGCCATCGCCCTCCGTCAAGACCGCTCCATCACAACACCACACTCTACACTACTACGACGCTCCTCAACCCATAAGACCCTCCTCCACCATGTCACCAACTCTAATGGAGAATCATCTTTCAAAAAGATATTAGTAGGCATTCCCCGCTCCTCGTTTTAGTATCCATCATTTCCACAGATACCAATAAGCCCCTCCGCTTCTATTCCCGTGCCCAGTCAACAATATCTTCATATACTTAGCTTACACACATTCCTTTAGTTGTGACATCTATGATTGCTCTTCAAACTGGTACGACTGGGGACGGTGGGTTGCGCTGGGAGTAATCGTCGGATGCGCCATACTCCTCGCATTCCTCTTCTCGTGGGTTATCCATCCCTCCACTCGCAGTTGCACCCAACTAACTCTGCGACCAGGTGCATCACCAACCGCCGCCGCCGTGCCCATGGTCTTCCGCCTATGTACGGGACGGGCTGGATGGCAGGAAAGCCTCCAGCAGGACAGCAGAATGGGAACGTGCATTACTACCCGAATCAACCCTACTACGCCGCCCCAATGCCCGCACCACCCTATAGTCCTCCGGTTGCCTATCAACAGACAGGCAACACCTTCAACAGCAACGACGGGTACTATGGCGCTCCGTATGCGCACGGTGGCATTGAACTGCAACCGCCTCAGAATGTATATTCACCACAGCGGGGAGGGGACCCGGTCTACAGTCCTCCCCCGGGACCGCCTCCGGGAAAGGAGGGCCAAGGTGCTACGTTTCGATGAAGGGGAGGTATAGCTATTCTCCGTTGATACGACGAAATGTTTAACGATACCAGCCGGTTTTTGATCTCGGGGGGGGAGCGAAAGGAAAATGGGCGCGAAGTGCTTGAAGGCGTTAAGGATGAATTGGATGGGAGCGTTGAATAGGCAATTTAATGATTATCTCCAAGTCACAGTTCTAGTCTCTTGCGAAGATGATAGAACTTCCGATACTACGATTACCCTTTTCTCTCCCACCGACCAGACCTACATGTTGAGCAACTTGAGCCCATTGCAGCACTCATATTCGTATACGGTTCTGCGAAAGCTCTTCAAAATGGCTGTGGATAGCAGTACGGAGTATGCCCATATGGACGCGCGTACCACCGCAAGTTCAACGACGGCCTTCGTACCTAGGTAATGTCGGGAGCAGCGCCACAATAGGTATGGCAATAGGTATGGGCGCCACGTTCTGTATCCGTGCACCGCCTCATAGTGGCTGTCCTCGAAATCTCCAAAGGGCGAAACAATGACGAGTATGATAAATGTACACTTGAAATTATAGTGCAACTATAGCGCTGTTCTTCGGTCAACGTCTTCTGGACCAGCTCATTAAAGGTGTCAACGATCCTTAACAAACTAGCAGCGTCCTTTAAAGCCCAGGGAAACGACATGGACATGCTTCTTGACCTGTTCCAAAAGTTCCGGTCCCTCAGACTACAAGACTACAAGTCGGTCTGGGAATATGCAGCGGCTTTCAGACAAATCAACTCCGACCTAGGAAAGATTCACAGCGAAGCCATAATAAGAGACCTAGACATGGTCATAATGTTTATGGACGGACTCGATTCATCATACAATGAACTCGTCGCAGATTTTCAGCGAAACCGCGCCTTTATCGAGGACCCTGCCAACCCAGATCTGAAGGTTCTCTCCTTTAATGAGCTGGTCTGGAAGACTTTGGACGAAGAACGGCGCCTACGACGAGAACGTGACAGGGCAGCAGTGGCTATGGCAGCAACTACGGATCCAAACACTAAGCTGGTGGACTACTGTACTCGCTGCAAAATGACTGGGCACTCGATTATCAGCTGCTTTTATGTGCATCCTAACTTGGCACCAAAAGGATGGAAACCAAGGACCAAGAGACGAAAGATGAACGACGAGAAGGGAAAACCTGGCGGAAAGAACAACAAGAAACGGCGATTCAACAACGGTAGAAAAGAGATTTAGGTACCTTAGGCCCTTCTTCTTTATATCTCTACCTAGGTACCTATATATGTATATATAAGAATGGATTGAATCACCTAGTTTTATCGTAGGTTCACTGCAGTATTCAGAGTGCATCTAATAAGAATACGTTGGGGTGGTCTTGTAAGCCGCGGATGAAGACAAGAATAAGATGGGGAGCGCTTAAGGCCCCGGAAATACAGAATACTGCCCGGCCAGGACCTTCACAGTATTCAAGACAGTAATGAGAGAGAAGCGTTGAATCGATTATCTCTAGGAGTCGTACAATTTACGGTTCAAGATATCTAACTTCTAAGACTACCTTATCTACCTTACCTTATCAAAGACAAGATACTACCTTATCTACCTATGGGTATAGCTACTACTAGACCTGCACGTTGACTTAAGCTTATTATGGATTCATATCAGTTCATTGAAAGCCCTCTACGCTATGAAAAGAGCTGGAGGGTAATGGTAGGTAGGGCAGCGCCACAATGCACCGCCTCATGGTGGCTGTCCCCGAGATCTTCGGGACTTCGAGGCTTCGAGACTTCAAAGGGCGAAAGATGAGAGAGAGAGAGGGATGCTAAGATCATGATCGTGATCAGGGGTTGTGATCCTTCTTTATATCTCTCTACGCAAGGGTCCTGACATGATATCATCACCGTTGCAATGTCCAACGAGGAGTCGTGGGGATGAGACCGCCCAGCCTGCCCAGCCGTCGTAGTCTCGTCGACGGTCGTCCCAAGCATCGCCTCGTTTCACCTCCCTGTGCCATCTCTTCTCACTCTCCCTTCTTCTTCCCTTTACCAACGACAGACCCCACGGCCGATCCACTCTTCTTTTCTCTTTTCCGACATCTTCCCGTCGTTGCGCAAGCCCTAACTATTACTTACTTCACATTCACACCAAAGAAGCCGACAGGGACCGTTGAATCTCCCTCCTGCGCAGTGGATCTGCGCGACGATCTTGGGCACGCGAAATTGTGCTTGTTTCCTGTCCTCCTTGGCTATGGAGTAAAGGCGATTACGTAGGAAAACGGCTTCTCAGCAAATTGGGACCAGCGCGCAACGACGAACTCCTCCAGTCGAGCAAAGGCGCGCTGCCAATTGCGAAGCCTTCTCGATCCCCTCTATCCTCTATCTTCTATCCAAACATACGACGGACCTGACTGTATCTGCGACACACGCGGCGGGGCTGCGATCAAGATGCCGCACATCACCACCGCCATGGAGAGGAGTATGCGGAGCGGCGCGGTGCCCTACGTGCTGCGCGGTCTGCTGGGGAGGGATGTCTCACAGGAGGTTGATAGTGTGAAGACCACCTTCTCGAGTTGGGATAATTGTATGGCGAAGGCGTATTGCAAGTCAGTGTCGCATTGCCATTGCCCTTAGAGTGAGGAATTGCTGGTTAACAAGTACCTCAGGTGGCCCGTCATCGCCGCGATCATCGTCGCCTCGCTCATCGTGCTCTCGGTCCTCTGGTGCATCATTCGCTGCGCGTGTTGCGCCCGTTCCTGCTGCTGTGCCTGCTTCTCCTTCCTGGAGTGCTGCGATTGCTGCGGTGGATCCTGTGATGGGAAGAGGGATCGCGCGCACCGACACCTCGACGACCGAGATCTGTTTCCCCCTCACCAAGGCTACCAGCCGCCCGCACCGATGATGGGCGGCGCGCTGGCTGGTCCAACGGCCTACGAGCCGCCTCGATATGCCCAGTTCGAGGTAGGGAAAAACGGGCTGGCGGTCGATCCGAAAGCGAACGCTCTTAGTGAGGACGCTCTCCCTCCGATGCCGAGCTGGGAGACTGCTGTAAGTAGACACGTCTTGACCGAGGAAGAGAAGAACGCCGTTGAGTTGGGCGAGTTGAATCCTGTTACCGGACAGAAGGTTCCTCTCATGAGCGGCGGGGCCCCTGTTGGAATCAGTTCACCTCCGAGTCCTGTGGATGGAATGCCCGCTAGTCCTTATGGCGCACGACCTGGGCCCGGCGCTGGCGGGAACGGGTATGCAGGAATACCCGAGGATCCGTACGCGCCGAACCGGAATGCCTTCAACCAAAATGCTAGAGGGTATGGCGGTTCGTTATCACCGGCACCAGCGGTGGGAGGTCGGGGGTATGGGCCTCCTCAGCATGCCATGGACAACTATGGTCCTACTACTCCTCAAGAATCCTACCCCGGGACCAACAACAACGGCTTTGCCGCTTCCCCAGTCGGAGCATATGGTCGTCCCCAACCCGGTTCCCAGTACCCCAGTGATCGCCGGCAATACCCGCCTCAACCGGTGCGCCAATATTCGTCCGATTCTGCGCGTCCCTTAAACCCGGGACGACAGTATCAGCCGGAAGGGGGGTATCAACCAGATGGAAACTATCCACCTCAGAATTTCCCAATGAGCGATCCTCCACGTGGACCTTCGAGGGGTCCCGTTCGTTCGCCGCCGCCTAACAATACTCCCGGCTTCGATTTCGGTATTGGTTCACAACAGCAGTACCAATCCCGACCCTCACCACCTCCTCAACAGCCGTATGGTCCATCTCAAGGAGCGCGATATAGCCCACCCTTGCAGCAGGGAAGACCTGGCAATGGGGGATACCACGCAGGCAGCACAGCGCCACCGTCATATGCAAGCAGAAGCCCACCGCCACAGACATCGAATTACCAGCCATACGTGCCTCCATCCGATCAAGAAACCCCACAAGCGTTAGTGCCTGGTGGGGGGAGAGAAAGAGAACCGCAGAACTGGGATCCCGTTCAACGGTAATTCAAATTTCGTAGGATTAGGGAGGAGAGGATATGATTTGATGATGTGTGATACCCGGACTCATTTGCTTCAAGATAAGCAAGGAGGGAAGAAGAGAGAATCTTGTCTGATATGGTTTGGATGGGTCATGAGAAAGGCTAGATATCCCATTTCTTGATGTCCCGATGCATTAGTTTTCATTTCCCGCATTTTGAATTCCTGCTCCGAGACGAAACGCCCGTCGCAGCTCGCAGGATTCCTATCGATGACCCTGACATTGCAAACTTGTAAGTACGTTATTTGGCGGGTCCTGGTACCTCCCGGCGTTTGGGATAGCTCAGTCAGTCATGTCTGGTCAATCATGTAAAGTTTGCACGCGGGAAGGGTCCGCACAGGTACCTAATACAAGCTGCAATTCACCACATGATCGGTTGCAATCAAAACTTTACATTGAAATATCTTCGCATCACCCCCTTCCGCACCATCTTGGGTACGGAAAAATCATCGAGCTCATATTGATATTTTTCTCATACAGGATCTTTCGTCTTCTCATCTCCCTTACCGCCATGCTAATATAAAGCAGAGATGCGCAAACCTCCTTGCGTGCGTCCCACCACTCAGCTCTCCTATCTACTCATCTATCTATATACCTACTCCTCTGTCACACTCGATCCCCTCCTGCGTCCCTCCCTCGACCGCCGCTTCTTCGATGCTGTAATGCTAGAAGTCCCGGGTATCCAACTGGTAAAGTTACTAGTCTCGTGCTGCGCGAGTGCGGATGACGTCTCGAAAGTTACCTGATGACTCGCTGCCGGTCAGTGGCGCCATCGTTCGCGAATGCAGAACTTGACGAGCGTAAGGTCTTGTGGAAGAGGATGTCGTCTCCTTGGGTATTGCTGTGGCAGATCCCAGTCTTGCGCGCGCGGCGGCGCCGTCGGCGGTGTCGTAGAAGGCGCTGGCTGAGACGTGCGTAGGGGGTCCGCGGGCGAGCAGTTTGGCTGCTGTCATGGCTGGTTCGGAAGGGCCTTTAGAGGGCTCGGCAGGGGGGCACTGGAATGTCTTGCGAGGTGCGGACGTAGGGGCGCGAGGGGAATGAAGGACGGACCCGCTGACCTTGATCGTTGGGTCAGGAGAAGTAGATGGATACCCTGTTGCACGAAGAATGCTGGATGGGGCATGAGTTGTATAGCCTGGGAGCGCCCCTTCAGGCCTTACGCTGGCGACCGCCGCCCCTTTCCATCGTTGCAGGTCTCGGAAATCTTGCGGGATGATTGAGATTGTCTTGGGAGGCGGGTTGGTGCCCCCAGGCCGGGCGTCGTATCCCTTCTCCGTGCAGTCTGGGCAGAGCTCGTACAGGACCGGGGTGACGAGGACGTGGTCCTCTTCCGTAGGATCACGCTCCGCGTCTGTGAAGGCGTGCTCGTACTCGTGGTCGCAGATCGTGGAGAGGTAGCAATGCTATCGGTTATTAGCTGAACACTACACCTTTCATTGAGAGCAGTCATGAGGACTCTTGACGAGAAATGCGAATCTTACCTTGTAGTAGAGCGTTGGGCCGTCATATCGAGGCCCTGGAGGCTCGTCGCCGGTGCAGGCGAGGCAGGTCTGGGTCTCGTAGTATGCCTTCTGCTCGCGAGGGTTCGCGCAGTTCTTGCTGAAACATCCTTCGGTCTCGACGTACTCGGATGCATGGCCACAGTTCTCAAAAGTGGCTACGTGCTTGATACACATTTCGAATGCTTAAGAGGTGTGGTCAATATTCAACACGATCTTGCCGATTCTTACACTTGATTAAGACGTGGTGATCCTTGTTGAGCAAGTACTTGATCTGGAATGGGGTGTAATAATAAGGAGCCTCATGTCGAAGCAGCCCTGGTATATATAATAGCGCGGCTGGACCTGTTCGGCGGCTGTGAATCATAGCCTAGGTATAATCAGATTGCAGTTATACATATGTATCGACTTGTGAATGGCAGCCATATCAAGGGGTGGCTAGGTATTCAAACATGGCATGCTCCGACCCCTACTTTGTCAATTCCACCTTAGTATGGAGAACCCAATGTATTTTAAGGACGTACCAGAAGCTAGTGGGCCCTCTCAAGGAACCCCCATGAACGTGGAGATTCGTAGCCGCCAGCCAGCCGTCTGCCTCCGCTTGCCCTTCATACTTCCGCTCCTTCTTTCGGGGTTGAAAGTAACTTAGTTAGGATTATCATCTCGAGGTTTGTATGTTGATGGTATGCTTGCAACTGCGGGTATTTTGGGCGTCAGGAAAAAAAGGGGGGGTCACTGCTAAGCGAGCTGCAATGTCAGAATATACTGTGAGAGCACCAGCGAAAGCAGACCATTCATCGAGGTAAATGTTGTTTCTTGATGTTACCTATTTCAATGGAAGATTGAAATATCTAGTTATCTATATGATTAAATAGATACACAAGTACACAAGTACATGAGTACCTAGGTACCTACCTTAGGTATGTAATCGTGCCGTGGCGAAGAAATGGGATGCTCGCAAGAGAAAGGAAATCCTGAGCACCATGTAAGACATCTTCCTTCTCGTCCCCCAGCATATTCAGACTTATCCTCTCCTAATGCCTCGTGAAGATTAATATACGTACTCGCACTTTTCAGGGGCCAGATCACGTGAGATTACCTTAGCGCGGCAAAATAGGAGAGTCGAGCAAACGTAGCAAACAACGCCGGGAAGGAAGTAGAATATACTTTACTTACCTTACCTTCAAGCATCAGCCTGCCATCGCCTACCTTTTGGTCCGCTACCATCAGCTCCAAAATGAAGCGCCTTACCCAATTACCTTTCGCAGAGAGCTCTATTGCTATCAGAAGCTGCTCACGGCCTCGAACGGTCCCTAACGCCGTTCAGAGATGTATTCATACGACGCCATCGAAGCCAGCAACCGTAGTTGGAAATCTCACGGCGACTGGCCCTCCGCCTACGGCGCCGACGCCAAGCGCTGAATATGTGGACTCAAGAGTTGCAAGACGGCGGAAACAGGCGGAGCTACTGACGAGAGGGCAGGATCTCAGAGCTGTCTCCGGGGGTAATGGAGGTGGAACGGCAAAGTTGAAGAGGTTTTGGAAGGATGTGCATGTAAAGCATGCGGATGGTGGGTTCCAACGAAGGGGAAACGGAAATTCAGCCGCGGGCTGCTATCTCGTGCAAATATATACTAACAATTTCTGCCCTTACAGAAGGACTCCAAATCCACCTCGACAAGCGCCCTCTCCGCCGTCCTACGAAACAGATCCTCACAATCCCGCACAACAAGCCCCATCTCGCCTCCGCCATAGCCCTTGAATGGGATCTTCTTGTCTCAGCTCAACAGGCTCTTCGGCAGCACCTAATTCCTCTGACCTCCCTCGTCTCTCGGGCTCTCGATATCGCCGATGAAGACGCATCCGGCGGCGGCGAGATCCGCGCAAACATCGTCAAGACAGTTATGCGATACCTCGACACCGATTCCTTGCTCTGTTGGGCACCCGAAGCATCGCCCGATCCACCCGGGTATGAAGTCCATGCGAGCAGGACCGAGAGTTTGAGATCCATTCAACAGAAGACGGCAATGCCTATTATTGCTTATCTGACGGAGAAGGTGTGGCCCGGCATCGAGATTGTGCCGGTGCTCGACCCGGATAGCATCTTGCCAAAGAGCCAGCCGCAGATGACAAAGGATGTGATCAAGGGCTGGGTAAGTGGGTTGCCTGCCTTTGAACTGGCTGGTTTAGAGAGAGGTGTCTTGGCCGGGAAAGGATTGCTGGGCGCTGCGCGGCTGGTGGTAGAATGGAGCTCGGAGTTGACGCACCTGAGGAATGGTGAGGCGAGAACCTTTGGGATTGAAGAGGCGGCGCAGGCAGCGAGCCTGGAAGTCGACTGGCAGACCAGAATGTGGGGTGCCGTAGAGGACACGCATGATGTCGAGAGGGAGGATATAAGGAGACAGCTGGGGAGTGTTGTATTATTGGTATCTGGGCAGACCAAGCAGGGATAGACGGAGCACGTTGTACATTATGTAGGTACGTAGCACGATGCTATAAGAGATAGACATGTCCAAATATATGTATATATATACACTATTTCTGCGCGCCTTGGGACAAAGCCGTCTTGCTTCCGACTTTCACGGAATCCATAAGGCACGCATCTCACATCCCCTTGGATGATATGAGTTCTGCCTTGTACTCAAGGCAAACACGAACAGACGCGAAAGCGCGAAAGTCGCTTCACCCCGCCAACGAAATAATAAATCGATTCTGTTGTCGTGATCAAGTCCGCTTCTTGCGGTTACAGAGAACAGCGCACGACCATCGACCAGCGACCGGAGCGCGTAGAGGTCTCTGTCATCCTCTATCGAGATGAGGGCCCATACACCCCAGCAGCTCGACGCTTCTGGAAGAAGGAGGTCGTCAGCCAGCAGTGGTCATCGCATCAGCATGGGGAGCTCTCTCCCTCTCCCCAGAGCGCAATCGAGAGTGGGTTCCTTCTCTGGCTCTCTGCAGCGTTTATAGATTCATAGGGTGCTGATGATTTGTACGTACAGATTGCTATGGCCCGCGCAGCGAATACGCAACCGGCCTTCGACTTTCTCACTGGCGCTGAATCAACCACTCGCCCCCCATCCAGAGGCGCCTTCGGACATTCAACGCGCGTGTCGTCGAGCGAATTCCACCGGGATAAACCAAACGCTGATACGGATTATGACCACGAGAAGCACCGCCGGGAGTTGGAAGAACTAAAGGCGGAAGTAAAAACCCTCAAATATACGATAGACAACCAGAAGCAGGAGGAAGCATTGGCTAAACTCAGACACGAGAGTGAGGTACGGGATGCTAGGCGGAAAGGGGAAGAGGATTTCAAGAAGATGCAGGCTGCCGAGGCCGAAAAATCAAAGGCTTTGCGACAATACGAGGCTCTGTCAAAAGAGCTGACTGAGGTGCGGGATGCTGCGAGCAATGAGAAGGCGGCGCTCGAGAGACGAGTTCGGGAAGTCGAAGAAAGCAGGCGGGTTCTGGAGGAGGAGGTTGAAGATATCAGGTCTGAACGGGAGGAAAGTCTGCGTGGTATCGAGAGGAGGTCGGCAGAGCTAGAATCTCGAAACGAGTCGCTACAACGAGCGGTAGAAGAGTTGCAGCAAGATTCCGATCAAAGGGAGATTTTACTGCGAGATACACAACAGCAGCTGGCAGACAAGGACGCCGCGTACGGCGCCTTAGAAGCTGAAGTTCTACGTTTGAAAGCACAAACCGGTGATGCAGACACACTGGGAATTATTAAACGAGAGCTCAGCGAACAGGTCGCGCACATCAAAAAGCTTGAAGCAGCAAATCGGGAACAGTTCACTGAATTGAAGCATTTCAAGAGCCTTCACAAGAGTATTGAGGTTGTTGAGGAGGAGAAAAGATCACTGCAGAGGAAGGTTGATGCGATGGAGGATCTTCGAAATGAATTAGGGGAAGCACAGATCCAGAGACAGCGCCTCGAAGATGAAAAGTTAGCCTGGACGGCATACCTCCAGAGCCAGGCTGGTATTGATGGCCAAGTTGAATTCGATTCTCCAGAAGCCTTGGCAAGGGCTCTGGTTGAAGAGCGTCTCCAGAGAGCAACTTTGGTGGAGAGACTTGGCAGTTTGGAGGCGGAGCTATCTGAGAAGGATAGTGTCATTCAGGGCCTTGAAGGAGAGAAGTCCGCTCTGGCCGAGCAGTTGGAAAAATCCAAATCAGTTGGAAGCAACGGGGGCGGTGACAGCAAAGCACGATTGAGGTTAGAACGACAACGAGCTCTAGCTGTTAAAGAAGTTGAATATCTCCGTGAGCAGCTCAAGACGTTCGACGCCGAAGACACCACCTTCCAACCCGAAAATGTCGACGAAGCGAAGTTGAAACGTATCCAAGAGCTCGAGGATATGGTAGATCAATACCGAGAAGAAGTCCGAAAGCTACATGAGGAGTTGGCAGCACGAGAAGCAGTTCCACCAATCACGGAGACCACCGGTTCAAAAAGGCCCCGAGACGAGGCTGAAGAGAGTGAACGTCTAGGCCAATTGTCACGCAAAAATCGCAAACTGCAAGATGAACTCAGCACACTCAAAGCCAGCACTAAGCTTATCGAAAAAGAACTCGCAGTTACAAAGGAGCGCCTAACGGTAGCAACCCAACAAAGCAAAACTCGTATCCTCTCCCTCCGATCAAATCCTACCTCTGATTTTGAAGCCATTAAAATGTCCACGCTCAACTCGCTTCGAAAAGAAAACGCGGATCTCCTCGCCCAACTGCAAAGCGGACGGCCGAGTACGGATTCAGTCCCTCTTTCTACTCTCGAGGCAGCCCAGCGCGATGTCAAACAGGCAGAGGATGCGGTGAAGTCACAAAAGAAGATGAACGATCGTCTGAAGAAGGTCTGGCACGCCAAAACCCAAGAATTCCGTGAACTAGTCGTCTCACTCCTCGGTTGGGACGTTGTGTTCCTGTCTAATGGGAAGATGCGGGTGACGAGTTTCTTCTACCCCAGCAAGGGGGACCACGAAAATAGCATCGAGTTTGACGGTGACAAAGGCACCATGAAGGTCTCTGGCGGGCCGCAGAGTGCGTTTGCGATGAAAATCAAAGAGCAGATTAAGTTTTGGGTTCACGGGAGGGGAAGTGTGCCCTGCTTCTTAGCCGCTCTGACGCTGGAATTTTACGAGGAGGCTAATAAAGATGGTACCTTGAGGGTAGATGTCTAGTCGCTGTTATGATTATGAATGAGACATTGAGTACTGACCTGGAAGAGGGATCGCTGCGAGCTGGCTCGAGAAAAGGAGAGGGAGGGATAATGCCACTGTATGGGCGGGAGGACTCCCTATACGTCCTATCTACCTGATCTATCTATCTGTATAATAGCTTACTTTCCATTACCTTACCTATCCACGCCTTGTCATCGGTACAGTCGCGGACTATAAGGTAAGGTAAAATACCTAGGTAGGTAACCTTGCGCTGTACAGACATACGAGCTAGGGAATTACCGTATAATAAGCTTTTAGATGGATCATGGCCCCGCCTTTGAGAGCCGTTTATACAATTACAGTGAGACCTGCCGAAGGGCGGTCGCGCGGATGGCGTGCAGATCTGCACGTATCTGACCTGATAACCGGAATAAATAGAGTATAAATACTAATCAAGGACCGACTATGTAATAATAGAGCAAACCCCTCTTCCCCCCCC